CCCCAAAGCCCCAGTACATAGTTGTGTATCCTAGCTGTAGGTCATTCTACTTCTTCTATGTGGGATGCCGCCACAGCATGGCTTGATGAGCAGTGTGTAGGTCCATGCCTAGGATCTGAACCAGCGAACCCCAAACCACCAAAGTGGAGCATGCGAACTTAGCCACTTGGCCATGGGGCCAGCCCCTCACGGATTATTTTTATGTAGTATTATACTGCTTGCCTATAACACAAGAAACTTAGCACATTAGTCTCCTCTCCTAGGCTTTGTACTAGTACTGTCATACATTTTACTCCTACATATGTTATAAATCCCACAATACATTTTTATACTATTTTTGCTTTAAAGAGTTTGTTACCTTTTAAAGAGATCTAGATGAGAAAAAAATATTTATATTAACCCACATAATTACCATTTCTAGAGCTCTTTGTTCTTTTGTGGAGATCCAGACTTCCATCTGATTTCATTTTTCTTCTAGTTGAAAGACATCCTTTAACATTTCTTCTAGTGTGGGTTTGCTGGTGATGAATTCTTTCAGATCTTGTATATCTGAAAATTCTTTATTTGCCTTTATTTTAAAAATATTTTGTCACTCAGTAAAGAGTTCTAGTTTGGCAAAATTGTTTTAGTATTTTTTTAAATTTTGCTCCATTGTCTTCAATTTGCATTGTTTCCAGTAAGAAATCTACTGTCATCCTTATCTGTGTTCCTTTTATGATATTCTTGACCTACATTCAATTTAATTTTTTGCAGTCAAATTTATTAATATTTTTCTTTATAATTTCTTCCTTTGCTTTTATTCTCAAAAACAGCTTCCCCTCAAGTTCAACTCCACCATGTTCTTATTTACATGTGCTTCACACCCCATGGACAGCAATACTGTCTGAGAAAATTTTTCAAGCAGACTATACTTTTAATCCAACTGGAATTTATTTTGTTGTGTGGGGATCAGAATGTCATCTGCAGTTGATCTCTGGAATTCATCCAGATCAGACTACTTTATCAGGAGCTCTTCTCCTGAAACCTTGTCCTCAGAGCACCCCAGACCCACTCAGTCAGGACCAGCTGGATATCATGTCCTGGGTTTTCCATAGACCAGAATTGGTAAGCTATATTTGATGCTAGCCCATCAACAGCTTCTGTCTCATCTTCATCTCAGTATCACAAGACAGTATGTCCGCATTTACAAAATTTAGTCCAGCATAATCCACACACAGTCATCTGAGGCTGGTAGCTCTCATGTGCCAGTTCTCACTCAAGGGCTTTGATTCTATAAATAAGACAAATATTTCAGCAGCCAAGAGCAGCTCCAACCTTACTCTTATACAGTTAGTTTTTATTCCTCAAGGAATTGTATCTATTTCTCCAGAGCCACGTGTTGGGTCCAAGTCTGCTCCACATATATCTCATTGTCTTTGGATCAGCAGGCTAGTCAGGGCATGTTCTTTGCATCACAGCATTCCTGGAAGAAGCCAAGAGAGCAAGCCCCACCACATTAGCACATTTTAAATCTTTGTTCACATCATGTCTGCTAACATTTCATTGGCCAAAGCAAGTCACACGGCCAAACTCAACTCAATGGGATGAGGAAGTATACTGTGCCCACAGGAGAGTGAATATTTGCCGAGCAATAATCTAAACTACTACACCTGGGCTTCACTGAGCTCAGAATACTTGAAGATCATAGACAAAGACAGATCCCAATTCCACCTGCAAGAAACAATGAGGCATGGAGACCTCAAGCGATACTCGCTGATTCCCGTCAAAAGTCACAAATAGAGCTGGAACAAACTCACTATCTTAAGTCCCTCTCTGGGACCCTATTAACTACATGACAAGTAGAATCACTAAACAACTCCCAATATATATTTGGCAATTTCATGTATTCTACGGTCCATACCATTCTTATGCCTAGAGCCCTGCCCCTCAGCCTCCTTTTCCTCTTTCTAAATTCAAGTAATCTTTCATGGCCTTGCTCATGTATTTCTTCTTCTTATTCTCCTCCTCCTCCTTCTCCTCCTCCCTGTCCTCCTCCTCCCCCTCCTCCTCCCCATCCTCCCCCTCCTTCCCCCTCTTCTCCTCCTCCCCTTCTTCTTCCTCCCCTTCTCCTTCCTCCCTTTCTTCTCCTTCTCCTCCTTCTCCTTCCTCATCTTTTCCTTCTTCTGTACAAAATGTGCATGGATAAAGGATAATGGTTAAGAGATCTAAGTTTCAGTCCCAGCTCCACAGCTCTACCCCTCACGACATTGGGCAAGTTCTTAATTAACTTCACTGCACCAAGGTTTTGTCATTTGCAAACTGGTAATAACGCCCAGGGATTTGTGAGGATTAAAAGGAGATGCCTGTGAAATGTTTAGAGCATAAAAGAGTACACAATTAACTAGGAGTTTTAAACTATTTTCTTCCCTTCACTCAAAAGCTAGGCATGATCTCCCCCTCCTCTGAACTCGTAGAGTATGTATTCAATTAAGCACTAAGAAATTGCAGGAACCATAAGTTCACATTCTTATGTAGGCCACCAGGCAGACATCAGGAAAACGTTAAGGAACCTATGGCTTCTTTCATATTGATGTCTTGTCTTGCATCTTTTTCTCACAAACCTATATGTTTGCATATTAAAACATGTAGGAATATTCTTTTTTTTTTTTCCTACTTTATCTACCCAACCTCCCCGTATATAGCTGTATATCTTAGTTGCAGGTCCTTCCAGTTGTGGGATGTGGGATGCCACCTCAACATGGCCTGACGAGCGGTGCCATGTCCACGCCCAGGATCCAAACCCTGGGCCGCCGCAGCAGAGTGCACGAACGTAAGCATTCGGCCACGGAGCCAGCCCCTGTAGGAATATTCTTTGCTCCACAAAGAAATACATTTTCTCCAGGGGTTATGTTCAAAGTATTTAACAATTGGCCTTTCGCCTGGACGCCACAGTTGGATGCTTCCTGGCTGTAGTGATAGAACAGAATCTTGCTGGGGGCGGGAAGTGGACGGGGGATACACTGAGATGCCTCAGGCAGTGGGGCAGCACACGGGGCTCGGAAATGGCTATTCCCAAATCAATATGGAAGAATTTCTTACTAGCTTATGCTAGCTGAATATCAGCCTTGGTTCTCTCCCACTTGTTTAAACATGCAGGTTTCTTGGCCTATCCTTTGTTTTCCTATTTTTGATAGAGATATGAGCACAAAGAAATCATATTTCACATGTGTTGTCTAAAGCAGGCAGCCCTCATTCAGCTCCAGCCAAACGTCTTGTGCCAGCTGGAACTTCCAATTTTTCAAGAGAAGCTGGAAATACAAACTTTTGTATTGAATCTTTATTGTTGGCTCGATAATTTTTAAATCTGTACAGGCCAAACACCGTGACCTCTGGCTTATTGAATGCATATTATACTCCAGGCATTGCAGGAGTTCACAAAGATGTGAATTCTGCCCTGAAGGGACTAACCATCTGATGGAGAATCTGACAGACAAACAACAGTTAATTTTATAGTCGGATGGTGGGGTATAACTGCTTTGTATAACCAGTAATTTTTCTTATGTGTATGTCTTACCGCTCAATCAGACACAAGGAGTCTATGCTTATTTGTCCTCAGCACCAAGCACCTGCTCACAATGTTTTAATTGACCTGTTGTCCCAAAGATCTCTTGCTTAGTCTGTGCAACTGAAATGAACATGAGACATAGACGTACAGCCATTTCAATTAAGTCATGATCTCTGCATAATCAGTCTTACGATAAGTACCTTGCAGACAGTAGGCAAGGAATAAACCCTTCTGGAATTGAACCAACCTGATCTGTTATGTAGTAGTTGGTCAAAGACACAGGCTACATGTGAGAACAGAGCAGAAGGAAATGTAAAAATGCAGAGCTTCCTTGCAAGACTCATATGGGAAATCAAATTTGGAAGACTGCTATGACTGGCACCTCTTTCTCAATCTTTATTTTCAGTGCCAAATGGTTTCTCTCTGGAACTGAGCGAAACACAAAGGCAGAGACCAAAACTCAATTAGATTATTTTGCTGGAAAACAAACCTAGCTACAACTTATTACCTTTGAAAAATACAAGAATGCCCAGGAAATAGTTATAATATCAACAATAAGAAAGAATATAGCTATAAAATAGAATAAGAACATTTTAAAACTCAAAGAGCTCATCCATATAAATAAATCATCAAAACGGTATTCAGTTTTACCCATAGTTCAATCAAATAAACAAATGTTTACTCATCACCTCCTTCAATAAAATTTAGATTTTTTTAATTGATGCTTTTATTATAAAATTAGCATATGCTTGGTCTGGCCCAGTGACACAGTGGTTAAGTTCAGTGCACTTTGCTTCAGTAGCCTGGGGTTTGCAGGTTTGGAACCCCTGGCACGGACGTACACACCACTCATCAAGGCATGCTGTGGCGGCATCCCACATACAAAACAGTGGAAGACTGGCACAGATGTTAGCTCAAGACAATCTTCCTCAAGCAAAAAGAGGAGGATTGGCAACAGGTGTTATCTCAGGGCCAATCTTCCTCACCAAAGAAAGAAAGAAAGAAATTAGCACATGCTCATTGAAAGAATTCAAAAGCGTATAAAATAAAAACAAAATTTCCCTCTTTATCCCACCCCACCTCCCCCCACCATCCTACTCCTAATTGTAACTGTTACTGATAGCTTACTTAGTTCATCTCCTGCCACGCCCTCTTCTCTGCTCACTCAAAATATATGCGTATGTTTGCGTATGGGTCTGTTTTTCCAAATACATTGGAATCATACTCAATACTATTCTGCAACTTAACATTTTCCTTCCTGTTCCATCAGTTCATGTCAATTGGCCTCATTCTCTTTTAAAACTGTATAGTATTTTGTAGTATTAATATACCATACTTTGTTTAACCATTTCTCTGTTGAGAACCACTTAGGTTGTCTCCAATTTTTCACCATTACAAACAATGCTGCAGTAAATATCATCAGTTTATATTTTAGTTTGCTTTTTAATTTAAACAGGACTGTGGAAGCTGAAGTCATTACAGAGTTTGGATCTGTCATTCAATAAGATATCACAAATTGGTTCATCTGATTTTCATAACTGCCTGCGACTGGAGAACCTCAACTTACAGAGCAACAGGATATTCAGAATTCATCCAGAAGCCTTCAAGGACCTCAAAAAATTACAGGTTATAAAATAATTTTAATAATATTTCAAATATGCAGATATATGGGCAATTACGTTAGATGAATATTTCCATGAAAGAATTTCTTCACACCCAGCAGTACTGGCTATTAATCAAAAAACAGAAGTCTATTTTAAGATTCCCCTAAAATCACTGAAGTCTCTCACTTGCCTCAAAAATCAAAAGCCTCTGTAATGGACATGAATTTTGCTCGAACATAATACGCCACAGCAAGAATTGGCACATTATTCTTCTCAATCAAATTAAACCTAACTCCAAGTTTCCACTTACCAGTTATGAAGAAATTAAATCTTACTTATTAGTGAGGCTCCATTGCAGAGCCGCAAGGTCAGTCAGAGGTTCCTGGGGTCTTACGCAATCTGGAACACATGGTTGATGCTGAGATGTCAACAACCCAGGACTGTATGGGCCTCTGAAGGCCAATGACCTGTTGCTTCCATACCACAATTGGGTACAGAACACAAATGACAACGCTAAGAGCTCATTCTTGTAGAGCACTCACCCCATACCACCCACTGTTGTAAATGTCAGACCCATGTTGGGGGCACCCAGGTCACCCTTTGGAGCCGTAGGGCCCGTCTCCCAGGCACCTTGCAGTTAATCTCACTGCAGTCTTGACAGCTGTGAGGATGGGGAACCCCCACAGCCCGGCTCCAGTCTTGGCAGCTGCCGCCCCTTCTCCAAGCTATTTTCTCCACCCGCCTCCTCTTTGAGGGGATACTGTAAAATCTCCCCTCAGGGCTCCCTCAGAAACACCCAGGTGGCCTCCAGTGTGGCACCTAGAGACAGCTGAGGAGAAGATTTAGTCCTCTTCCCCCTAACCTCCATCACACACCCCGATTCTTTTTTTTTTTTTTTGCTTGGTGAACTAAATTAATTTATTTTTTCATTTAATCAATTGGACACGTTACAATTTGTAAATTTAAGGTGTACAGCATTACTTTGATACATTTATATATTGTAATATGATTGCCATTGAAACAATATCACATAACATCATTCTAGTACAGTATTATTGACTATATTCATGTGCTTTAGATCTCTGTGGCTTATTAGATCTTATGGCTTACTACTTATTACAAGTTTGCACCCTTAAACACTATCAGTCTCATCCTCCCAACCCCCATCCCCTGGTAACCACCATTTTACTCTCTGTCATTTTATAGGTTTGACTTTTTTTTTTTTTTTAAGATTCCACATATAAGTGATATCATACAGTACTTATCTTTCTCTGTCTGACTTATCTCGCTTAGCATAATGTGCTGATCTTATATACAGAAAATCCCAGAGTCAATCAAAAAACAGTTGAAATGAATCAGTGATTTCAGTAAAGTGGCAAGTTACAAAATCAACTTACAGAAATCACTGGCATTCCTTTACACCAACGATGAAACATCAGAAAAAGAAAGAAAGAAAACTATCCAATTCACAGTAGCATAAAAGACAATAAAGTACTTAGGAATAAATTTAACCAAGGAAGTGAAAGATCTGTACAATGAAAAACAATAAGACTTTGCTGAAAGAAATCAAAGCAGACACAAACAAATAAAAGACATTCTGTGTTCATGGATCAGAAGAATAAATATTATTAAAATGACCCTATTACCCAATGCTGTCTCATCCACAGATTCAAAGCAGCTTCCATCAAAATACCAAAAACATTATTCACAGAAATAGAGGAAACAATCCTAAAATTTGTGTAGAACCACAAAAGACCCCGAATAGCCAAAGCAATACTGAGAAAAAAGAATAAAGCTGGAGGTATCACACTTCCCAAGTTCAAATTATACCACAAGCCACAGTAGTAAAAACAGTATGGTACTGGTACAAAAATAGACATGTAGACCACTGGAACAGAATAGAGAGCCCAGAATTAAATCCTAGCATTTATAGTCAATTAATATTCTACAAGAGAGCCAAGAGCACCCAAGGGGGAAAGGATATTCTCTTCAACAAATGGTGCTGGGAAAACTGGAGAAATACATGCAGAAAAATGAAATTGAACTCCATTCTTTTGTTTATTTTGGGGGTTTTTTGGTGATAAAGATTGGCCCTGAGCTAACATCTGTGCCAATCTTCCTCTATTTTGTATGTGGGACACCATCACAACATGATGATGAGTTGAGCGGTGTGTAGGTCCATACCCAAGATCCTGTGGGGGTCTGGTCTTGGCCATGCCAAGATATGTCTCTTTGGCATGAGGATTATTTGGGGCTGGTTGCTTTTGATAAACTGGGACAGGGAAGGAGGCTCTGAGGAGTGGAACTTGCTTGCCTTTTGTTAAGAGACATTTACATTGTAAAGGAAATCTCCATCTGTAAACGTCCCTCCCTCTCTATACCAGGAAGAAGAGGGGGATGACTTTATCTCTAGAAACTCTTAATCAATACCAAAGGCAAGGACTTAAATCTGCATAATAATCTTATTCCTGTTTCTGGTAACCTCCTGTAACTGATTCCCCCCACCCCCAATATCCTCCTTTGTCTTTAGCTGGATATGATATTTAAGGTGGTGGCTTCAGCCATTTTGGTGAGTTGCTCAGCTTGCCTGAGCCTCTCCCATGTATACATGTTATAAAGCTTTGTTTAATTTTCTCCTGCTATTCTGTCTCGTGTGAATTTAATTCATTCTCCGACCAGATGAACCCAGAGAGGGTAGAGGAAACGTCTCCCTCCCCTACGATCCGAACCCACAAACCCTGGGCCACCAAAGCAGAGCACACAAACTTAACCACTACACCACCAAGTTGAGCCCCTGAACTCCATTCTTTATGTAGGCTGGTATCTTTCAATAAAAACATAATGTGAGCCACATATGCTATTTTAGATATTCTAGTAAGTAGATTCAGAAAGTAAAATTAAGCAGGTGAATTTCACTCAGTAATATATTTTTAACCCAAAATACCCAAATATCATCTTGTACACATGTAATTAATATAAAAATTATTACTGAGATAGTTTACCTTCACTGTTTCCTACTAAGCCTTCAAACCTGGTGTGTATTTTACACTTACCGCACATCCCATTTGGACTAGCCACACTTTAATACTCCATAGCCATGTGTGGAAGCAAGAGCATGAGTCTCAAATCTGCTTCTCCAAAAATAGGGACTCAAGGGATATTTATGGGATGGGAGCAAGATGGTCTGAAAGGTGGAGAGAAGTTATTGGAGGTGAGGAGAGGTGAGGTAATCGATGATGTGCACAAGCATAGTCAGACTTCATGCCTCTTCATAGGACGCGTGTTCACAAAATGGCAGTATTAGCATGATCAGAGGGTAGAGTTTTTAGCCTCTTGACATCAAAAGGTCCCCAATCCAACATCTGCTTGGGCCCAGTTGATGAGTTAGTGGTCTCTAGTGCTGGCTCAGTGAGTCGAGGAGTCGAAAGAAAGATTTCTTGGACTCTCAAGGCCTGGCAGTAGTGCTCTTTTATTCAGAGAATAGCATGGAGTAGCATGGGGACAGGACCCATGGGCAGGAAGAGCTGCAAAAACATGGGTTGAGGGTCGGGCTAATTTAAGGCATAGGTATGTGAGTTATCTCCTTACAAGACAAAGGAAAGAATATGTTAAAGAAAAAAGTCATTAAAATGGTATCAGTGCAGGTGGGGTCTGGTTATTGGGTGGTCCTATAACTTTAGATAAGAATCAGATCGGATTAAGTAAATGGTTGAAGCCACCACCTTAAATATCATCTTTAGCTAAAGACAAAGGAGGATGTTGGGGGGGGGGGTCAGTTACATGAGGTTACCAGACAAGTACAGCAAACAAGAGCAAGATTATTATGCAGATTTAAGTCCTTGCCTCCCCATTAAGAGTTTCTAGAGATAAGGTCATCCCCCCTTCCTCCTGGTGCAGAGAGGGAGACAGCCTCACAGATGGAGATTTTCTTTACAAATGTAAATGTCTCTTAACAAAGGGCAAGCAAATTCTACTTTTCAGTTTCCCTCCTGTCTTCAGTTTTTAAAAGTAACCAGCCCAAAATAATCCTCATCAGTCTCAGCTGGCCTGGAGTGGACAAAGGGGTTCTAATTCCTGAAGCACAGCTCACACACCCATTACCATGGTGACCCAGGCTCCAGGGAGATGTTATCTATAGGAGCCTAGTGGGAGTCAGAGAGCATATTTCCTAAGCAGCACAGTTAACAATGGGCGGGTAAACAGCTAAAGGCCGTAATCAGTAACTGCAAAAAGGAAAAAAACCTTTAGTTCCTAGCTACTTAATCACCAATGGCTAACTCTCTGCAGGTTTCAACTACCTGAAAAACATTACAATATTTTACTCTCTTGTTGAGGAAGGGTAAATAAGAAAGCTATTGATCCTAGGCCAAGCCAGGCCAAAGCAAAGGTTTTTTCCTTCCCAATCCCAGTCACCTAGTTCCTATTTTTGGCACCTTTCCTTTGGGAGTTGTGATATTGTGATTTACAATAAGAAATATATATTTGGTCTCTGTCACCTTTTCAGGCACAGAGCTCCTAAAACCCTTGACATTTCCCAAATGATGAGCGCCATAAAAGTGTCTTTTGTTATGTTAAGAAAGGGACTGAAAAAGCACTTAAGTAGGGGGGCTGATTGCCAGCAGAGCTAGCCCTGGATTAGAAAGCCTTTCTGTCCCGCCCCCCTGACCTCCAGGGAGGGGAAAGGCGCTGGAAGTTGAGTCAACCACCAATGGCTAATGAAGTAATCAATCTTGCCTATGTAATGAAGCCTCCAAAAAACCCAAAAGAATGGGTTGGAGACCTTCCAGGTTGGTGAACACGTGGAAATGTGGGGAAAGTGGCAGGCTCAGAGAGGGCATGGAAGCTCCACGCCCTTTCCCTGTACCTTGCCTTGTGCATCTCACCCACCCAGCTGTTCCTGAGTTATACCTTTTTTTTTAAAGATTTTATTTTTTCCTTTTTCTCCCCAAAGCCCCCCGGTACATAGCTGTATCTTCTTCGTTGTGGGTCCTTCTAGTTGTGGCATGTGGGACGCCGCCTCAGCGTGGTCTGATGAGCAGTGCCATGTCCGCACCCAGGATTCGAACTAACGAGACACTGGGCCGCCTGCAGTGGAGCGCGCGAACTTAACCACTCGGCCACCGGGCCAGCCCCCGAGTTATATCTTTTTTATAATAAACTGCTAATCTAGTGAGTAAACTCTTTCTCTGAGTTCTGTGAGCCACTCTAGCAAATTGCTTGAACCCAAGGAGGATATCGTTGGGACCTCGGATCTATAGTCGGTAGGTCAGAAGCAGAGGTGGTAACCTGAACTTGTGATTGGCATCTAAAGTATCGGGGTAAAGGGGCAGTTTTGTGGGACTGAGCCCTTAACTTGTGAGATGTAACACTATTTCCAGGGAGATAGCACCAGAAGTGGGTTGAATTGTGGGACACTCAGCCAGTGTCCAGGAATTGCCTAATGTGTGGGGACAAAGTCCACATGTCGGAATTGGTACTAGAATCAGAAGAGTCGAGACTGCTTGGTTACTTAACACTGGAAAGGTCACTCTCCCGACCTAAATTCAGGGAGAATTCTGCCTCTACATGTAGTGGTCTGGGTTACGGTGCTGTTTGATTGCTTGTTTGAATCAGCTCTTCTTAGGAATTTATGTAATCTAAGATGTCAATGCTGCTTTCTCACCAATGTTTCTAAAACACCTTGCCTTGATAACATACGGCCTTTTGGTTTTCATCCATGGCTCTCTTTTCCTTTTTTTCCCCCAAGAAGGTTTGTGTTCTCTGTTTTATGATTTTCTCTTCTTCTACTAACCACCTGCCCCTCTCCAAACCCCATTACCCGACCCTGGTGCCTCCTGCTCCGGCCTCTTCCCCCCAGCTCCTCGCTCCAGTGCAGCGGGAGCCCAGGCTCTGGAGGGTATATTCCGGAGTGGAGGGCACACAGCTGTGAAGCCTGGTCAGATCTCAACTCTGCAATTTCATTCATTCATTCCTTTCTCCATTATTTACTGAGCACCTGCTCTGTCCCAGGCCCTAGTCATAGGGGCTGTGTGGGATATACTGTGAGACCCAGCCCAGTTTCCTCCTGTAAATGGGAAAATGAGGACATTGTCGGGAGGATTAGCCATAACGTATGTAAGACACCCAGTAGAATACCTGGTCCACAGCAGTGCTCTGCGAAAGGTAACTGGAGCTACACCTAACTACGCTTTCCCTGTCGTGTCAGGCAACTGCTTTACCCACCTTCAACAGGTCCTGCTCTGCATTTCCAGAGCCACCGAATCCTTTTTGTTCCCTGGTTTCCCCTTCATTTCTGATTAGACTAGAAAAATTAGTCATGTTGTATATACTGAGTAGACACGGAGGGAGATAAATGTACTGCTACCCTTGAGATAATACTTGATGCAAAAGATTTCCCTTTGCTACTTCTGGTCAACCACAGTTCTTTTGTGTTCTTTGTCCTCATCATCCAGTATCTTCTGTCAATTCCAAGATCACAGAGTTTCTAGACATTCCAGCGCTGGTATTTAATCTAGACCTTGATAACAACAGGGAGCCTAGGTTTTATCTCACAGTACAAATTATAACTCATAGGAGAGAAGGAAGGGGAAATGATTGGGTATGTAAGATAGGCACCACTCTTAAAGCTTTCACATATATTTAATCCTTACAAAAACCCTGGGAGGCAGGCTCAGAGAAAATAAACGGTTTGCTGAGGCTCACAGAGTTATTAGGGGCAGAGCAGAGATTTAAACCCAATATTCTCCGACACTCAAATGCGTGCCAACTTCATATTGCATCCACTGAGGTGTAAGCAATATCTGTAACCCATTTATTTTGTCTCTAAATGTCCTTATTCACAGACTGTCCTAAATTTGTTTCTTCTCAAACAGGTTGTGGACCTCAGCAACAATGCTCTGACCACCATCCTTCCGATGATGATCATTGCTCTAGAATTTCCCCATCTGGAGGTTGACTTGGCTGATAACCAGTGGGAGTGTGACTATAATGTGGCAGTCTTCCAAAATTTCATTTCTGAATCCTGGAGGAAAAAGTGGAATGAAATTTGCAACAAGTCTATAGGTCAGTCAGTGGTGCCTCTTCTCTCTGAAATGGTTCCATTTAAACTGAAACAAGCACATGAAAAATTTAGTCTCATTTGAAACAATGACAGGGCCCCTGAAAGCAAGGGTGCTGATCCCTGGCGTTCCTTAGCCAGCCCTGGGCTGCATCGCAGAGTAGTCGCTGGTACCTACCTGTTATCCTCGGTTCATGGATGACTTTCTTCACGTGGTCCAAGAAACCTAGTTCAGATAGCTTAGAAACCACTGGATTCGGTCAAAAACAGAAATTTCACAAGGAGAGAATTTTTCCCTAAAGCCTCAAAAGGTCATGTTTTTATCCTAATTCTTAACAAATAATCAATCAAAGAGAGAACTTTTAAAACTTGAGCCACGGTTATTTAAAATGCTTGTGAACCCTCTGAAAGTGTAATCGTGTACATACACAAAACACACATATTTCAAAAGCATATTTTTCTTTGATTTGTTCTCTGCCACTCTCCCGGAGAGCTAGAATATGTTACGGAGTTGAACATTCTGGAAGCTTTTTTCACTGTTAACTCTCTCGGCTAAATCTCAGAACTAACTGTGGGGGAGACAGTCAGATTTTTTTTTTTTTTAAATGAGTCCTGGCCTCTGTTCTATTCAGGACTGGCCTCAAAGTAGAAACACAGCCCTGCTTACCAGGTTTAGTAGAAATCCGTGAAGATCATAGCGAATATTGTCAGCCACACTTATTTCATCCTCTCTAAAAGCCATAACCAGCCTTCTGAGTGTGGAGGACAGAAGGTCAGGAACCAGTAGAGAAACCTGAATATGTTTGCTGCTTACCGACACTGGAGAATGGTGAGGAAATGATATTGCAAACATGAGTAGGGCTGAGGCAGACTTTGCAGAGGGTTGATGGAATGTTGTGGCAAACGTGCAGTAGGTGAGGTTGTGGAGGAAGGAGAAGCGGTGTGGCTGCCCCTCCATTCTGGATTTCTCCTTCCATGGGCAGCAGTGAGGCAAGAAGCCTAAGGAACATACGGCCTCCTAGGCCCGTGAGCAGCAGACCCGAGCCTGATGGCCGTGTGTAAAAGCACACCGAGCAGGTACATATTATTGGCATTAGCCAATCCATCAGTAAAGCTGCTTATCATCGTGTAATAAAGAGCTTAAATACAGCCAGATCAGGACTGAGCAGGACTCATGGAAGCTTTTAAAACCACTGGAATCTTATTTCAATGCCTACTCAGTATGTGTTTTTTATCCCCTATTTTCAGGGAATGAGAAGGTATATTGGTGGACTCCCAAAAGGAGAATTTCCAGGGAGACTCACCTTCCTCACACTGAATCGAATCCTATGAGAAGTCTCGTGATGAGCAAAACCGAGAGGCCCCGGGAAGGGCAGTACACGCACTTTTCCCCACTGGGGAGGAAGGACGATGCCATGCAGAGACAGCTGCCAAGACGGGTCAGGAGAGACGGGGATGATGTGCAAACTCCTGATAGAAAGCAAGACGCTTCCCAGGACCTTGCCCTGGCCGTCTGTCTGGCGGTTTTCATCACATTCTTTGTGGCTTTCTGCCTGGGGGCTTTTGCAAGGCCTTATGTTGACAGGCTGTGGCAACAGAGATGCCGGAAGAAAGGCCCTGGTTCGGATACTGCGTATTCAAACGAGGGCTTCTGCGATGACGTGGAAGCTGCAGAGAACACGCAGCACCCAAGGGTAGGTCAGCACCAACCTTGCTGTGATCTAAAGCTCTATGAGAACCAAGACTCTTTCTTGGTGACAGGAGCCAGCCCACACGCCGCCATCATTCCTGATAGAACCCTGAACACGAGCAGAAAGGAGCCTGACAGTCGGCAGAGCAGGGAACAACTCGACGACAACAACGGGGCAGGAAGTAGCAAGGATTACATGCTTCCAAGTGACAGTGCAGCCGGGGCCCTTCTCCGCGGACAGCCAAATGCTGATCAGAATGCACGATCTTCAGCTGCACAGGACCACATCTACAGCAATGCCATTCTTGGAGAAATAAATTATGAAACTGTAGCCCAGGAAGATCCTCTCAGTGAGCTGTCAGTGGGCGTCCCTGCAGTAGTGGGCAGGTCGCAAACTGTCTCTAGCTCAATCCATAATGATTCCAGTGAATTAGACCCACCACTGTTGAGAGAAACAACGGCTTCTCTCTCGCAAATGCTAACACATCCGAAAGCACAGAGGACTGGAGAGCATGAGGGAAGAGGGGTCACTGAACAATTACCCTCAGAGTTCTCTAAAGAAATGCAAGCAAGCACTTACGTTAATTTGCTGAGCGCACAGCAGCAAAGGCTCAAGGGGTCCAGTGCTGAGGAAGAGCTTTCCACCTACTACAGTGCAGTCACACTCAGTGACCCAGAAGATACAGACCCATCCCCACCCGTCTTCCCTCCAGGATGGGGGAGGGACCTGCATGTCACTCCTGCTAACAAGGAACCAGGGCAGGAACACCCTCCTGACACTCAGTACGAGTTGGACACCGACTACGATTCTGATGAGGGGTCTTTATTTACTCTAAGTTCAATAAGTTCAGAGGATGCAAGAAATATGACTGAAGAAGAGGCACATGGTGAGGAGAGCCGTAGAGCCAGTGAGGCCCCAGAGGACCAGGACTCAGGAATGAGCAAGGACAATGTTATGTCATTAGAGAGTCTTGACAATGACATCACCTTCCAGAAGGTTCTGGGGAAATGTGAGAATCAAGAAGATCATTTTGAGAAACCTCTAACTTCTGGTCCAGACTCTGGTTGGCATGAAACTCATCTGGAAAGTGGCTCTAACACCAATAAATTTGAGGATCCATTGACCTTGCCCGAGTCACTGGGCAATAGTCCTTTCACTGATGAGACCCCAGAGGAGTTCAGTCATGATTGGGTCACAGCTCTTCAACCTGAGGTGGTAGAGTGGCTTTACTCACTTAAAGACTTAGAATTTTCATATGTGGATATTTTACCACAAACACCACCTCGTTCTGACGAAGTTCCCTCAGATCCTAGTAAGAGTGCCTGTCGTGAAAGAGACTCAAACACTTGTAAGGATGAACCTTTCATTCAGGAAACAGACACAGCTCGAAACCATAGTCCCTTCAAGATCACTACTGGGGAAAACTTAAGACCTTCACAACAAGATTTTGAAGAGGCCAACGTGAATTCCAACCTAATGGAAACTGATGCAAATGAGAGGTTTGTATGTCCTCCCGAGGACCATGATTCCAGAAGAGTTATAAGCCAAACACAATTGTTCCAATTCTGTGGTGATGAATCTGCTGTTCAGTGTGAAAGAGGAGGGGGCGAATATTTTGAAGATGGTTCCAAGAGCCAGGTACCATTATTACCAGAGCTTGCAAATGACGCCAGTTCACTAAGATCACAGGAGCCCTTCAGTGACAGAGACTGGGGTAAATACTCACAGGAGAATCTGTTGCAGTCAGAAAAAGATGATTCTGATCTTTATCCTCAAATGCAGACCCAGAGCAACTCGATGGGAGCTGACAATCTACTTGAGGACCAATGTTACTATGACGAAGACAAGGACGTCCAACTTGAAAGTCAAAGGGAATTCAAATAACATTTTTAGTACAGATTGAAGCACTTAGATGGAACTGCTGGACAGATTTTTACAAAGTCTGCACAAAGAACAGCACAACTTTTTGGAGGTTTATTGTGAAACTGCAAAATTGGAAGGATTCAGAACAATTCTAAATATTTTGTAATAAGTTATGTTAAAAGAGGGACCATTTTCTAGAACTAAATGTAAATTAAAAATCAATTTTCAAGAAGAGGAGAGAAGTTTTTTGTCAAAGAAAAAGGTACTCTACCATTATCCTTGACTAACCTTTCCTTGGTGTGACTCTCCAATTTGGGCTCTCATGAGCTGTGTTCTCCTGTTTATCCTCCTGCTTCTCCAACATTTTCTCCTTTTCCTTCCTGACACTCCTCCTCTGCTTGCCTTTTTTTTTTCCTTGGTGAGGAAGACTGTCCCTGAGCTAACATCCATGCCAGTCTTCCTCTATTTCATATATGTGACACCTCCACAGCATTGATTGATGAGCAGTGTGTAGGTCCATGGCCGGGATCCAAACAAGCAAACTCCAGACTACCGAAGCAGAGCTTGCAAACTAACCACTGTACCACCAGGCCAGCCCCTCCTGCTTGCCCTCTTAAAGAGCATTCCTCAAAGGTCTATTCCCAGTCTTCCTTTGCATCCCTTTACCTCTCTCCTTGGACCCCACTGCCTCATGAGCAGCTCTGTACATGAGGCCCAGGTCTGCATGACAAGACCAACGTCCTTCCCAAGCTCCAGACTCACCTTGTCCACCCCAGTTGTCCAAATCCACATAGAGCCTTCTGGGACCTAAAATTCCTCCTTTTCCTCACCAATGTGATCTCCCACGTTCTCTTTCTTGGTCAATAGTGTCATGACATCCACCCAGTAAAGCCGGTTAAAACTTCTGATTTATCTCTGACTCCTTCTCTTTCATTTCCTAAATCTGAGTGGCCTCTAAGCTCTAGGCAGTGGAAGTGTCTGTGTGTCGATCTATACAGTGAGATGTTTAAGTATGACAGTCTGGATGGGGGCTAGGCAATTTGTGGGAAACCAGTGTTTGCGTAGACAGCACCCTGTTTTTACTTAGAGGGTACATTTATTGAGGGTAGACTAAGACGGAAGGTGATTGTGAGTTGTGGGAAGGACCCGAAGGATCCAACTGTTGGCATTAGCACTAGTCCTGTGAGGGATCTAGCTCCTCAGCAACTCTTGACTTTGTACTCTCTGCTCTCAAGCCCCAAATAAGGCACGTCCTTGGCTAGCACCTAGATTATGTTAAGGCCTCTTTGTGACCTGTAGTACTTCTCCTTGACCTGCTCACTCCCAAATGATCTTATATCCTATGCATCTCTCTACGCAAAACCTTTAATAACTCCCCATTGCCTACATAAAGACCAAGTTCCATAATCTAAACACATTCTCCCTTTCCAGCTTCATCTCGTGACGTTGGCACTGCACCACACATTCTATATTCTGCTTTACAGCGTTTACAGCCATCATTTATTTCAGCAGACCTGAGGCCTTCCCTAGTCCCTGATCAGTTTCTCCTTCCTTGTGCACAAGGGCTATTTTGAAATTCCTTGTCCTTAAACTTTCACTGAGAAAATTTCAGCTATTAGGAAATACCTCCCTCGCTCCCCTGCCCCACAGCAGTAAGCACTTTTACATTTAAATCTACACTCACTACTTTCCTCCAATCTAAGAAGAAACCAGCATTCCGCGGGCACTGTTCCCCCCTGCCGCTGCTCTTGCTGCAGTCCCGGCATGGACCCATTCACGTTTCTGTTCCGGCGCTTCTCAGCCTTCTCCACCTAATGGCTGCTTCCCGCAGGCTATAAGCACGCTCCAGTCCCTTCCACACCAAAATCCAAGGAAGAAGACACCACCGGCAGCTCCCTCAAAAAAGTGCACGGGGCAGGGGGCAGGGGGGAGGGGGCGGGGGGGGGGGGGGGGGTGGTAAGGGGGTGGCGGCCTGGTGGTGCAGTGGTTAGGTTCACACATGCCACTTCGGCACCCCGGGGTTCACTGGTTCAGATCCCGGGTGCAGACATGGCACCGCTTGGCAAGCCATGCTGTGGCAGGTGTCCCACATATAAAGTGGAGGAAGATGGGCACAGATGTTAGCTCAGGGCCAGTCTTCCTCAGCAAAAAGAGGAGGGTTGGCAGCAGAGGTTAGCTAAGGGCTAATCTTCCTCAAAAAAAAACCCAAATAAACAAAAACTGCACCAGTGCTCCATTCAGAAACCCAGAGTCACTCATTTGACTTCCCTCTCCTCACTCCCCACATCAAATTCATTGGTCATTAAGTACAGCCAATTCTAGCCCCTAAATATCTGTCAAATCCATTCCCTCTTCTCTGTCCACAGTGTCACAGCTCCAGCTCTCACCTCGGCTGACACTCCGACACCGGATCTACGATAACAGCACACAAACTAGTTTCTTTATCTCCCGTCCTACGTGCCTTTATTATTCCCACACTACAGCCAGGGGTGGTTTCTAAAATGTAAATATGACCATGTGGCTCCCCTGATTAGAGTCCATCCATAGGCTACAGGCTCTCCTATTTCTCTAAAGCTCCACATAACTCCCCATCTCCAGGCCTTTGCGCGTGTCGCATCTGCCTGAAATGGTCTTTCCAACCTCCCCAACACCGCCCCCAACAACCTCACCCAAACAAGCCCTCCTTAAGCTCAGGAGCTCCTACTTCGTTCTCAGGTGAGTTGCCACTTCCTCAGAGAGGCCTTCGTGGACCCCCAGACGAAGGCAGACTTCCCTACTAGAAACTCTTCCATTACATTGTCCTTCACAGAGGAGAGCTTATTACCAGTAAAATTAAATCATTATTTGTGTGATTATTGATTTAATGTCTGCCTGCCCCTTTTATACTATAACCTCCATGAGAACAAAAAAATGTGTCTTGTCTCCCCGAGGCCTGGCATTTATTAGGTTCTCAATACATGGATTTATCAAATAAATGAATGAAAACAAACTCTTCAGTACAATATGCAAGGATGTCCATGATCTGGCCCTGCTTTCCATCTAGTATGTGTTTCATTGTGCCCTACCTCATTCCTGACCTCAAAGTTACGACCATACTGGACTACGGCACCCCACACACCATAGCCCACGTGCTCCCGCTTTCTGGGGTGCACGTCTGGCCTCCCCACCAAGCCCTGCCTCACCTACCTGGTACATGTCTACTCTTCTTTCAAGACACTATTGACGGGTCACCTCCTCCAGGAGCCTTTCTCGCCTCATTCCACCCAAGGAGAACGGACCACTCCCTTCGTCCCTTGGCTCCCACTGCACCGTTGTGTGTTGTGGCAGAAACAAGGCTTCACACGGCTTGGCTGAGTTCTACCAGAGACTCTTTTGTCAGCCAACTTCCAATCGTTGGGTGAAATCCAGTTCTGACATAGAGTCCCTGAAGATGAAAATCATTTCAGAGGTGGCAGCTATTATATAAAGTGAAAAATCGCTTTCTATTCCAGCAGCACCAAGAAAAAAGTATATACAATTTTGACTACTTTGTTTGTTTTTATTCACACTTCTGGGAAAAAAAGCTTCTGGTAATGGGGCATAAACCTCATGGGCATTGCAGTTAAGTAGCTCCCTTTCCCAGCAAGCGCTTGTAAAAGCAAAATTTAAAACCCCTCTCAACATGCCGGCTGTCAGCTTGGCTAACGGTGCCTGGCGGGAGCGAGATCTGAGCCTGCACTTCCAGGGGCCCAAGCATCTGGGCTTTGGGGTCTGCCCGCAAACTGCCTCCCGTGAAACCACCTGAGCTCCACAGCGCCCCTCACCCCAGTTCTTCCCTCTTAGTTTCACTTATTTTGATTATTTCTCTAGTTCTATTATTACATAAATGATCTTTAAAACTTATCTTACTTTTCATTAAGATAAGTCTTTTTGCATTTCTTTAGCAGAGTAACTCAAATTTTTATCAGCCTAACAATTCCATAATAGCATATTTTTGTCTAAGAAACATTTGAAAAATCCCTGGTGTAATTTACCTTTACATGTTTCTAAAACTATTAGGTACATCTTGGACCAAGGTGGCAAACCCAATATATGAAACATTAAAAACTTCTTCTTTAAGACAAGTCATTATGCCGTATACCTTAAACTTACACAGTGTTGCATGTCAATTAAGCCTCAATAAAACTGGAAAAAAATCTTATTCTTCTTGAAGAGGAACTAGTACCATAAATGAATTCTTTTTTTTTTTCCTACTACTAAAAGTAGTTTTTGGTTTTTGTTTGTTTTTTTTTTTCAGGGAAAGATTCGCCCTAAGCTAACATCTATTGCCAATCTTTCCCTCTCTCTCTTTCTTCCTCCTCCCAAAGCCCCAGTGCTGTGTATCCTAGTTGTAAGTCCTTCTAGTTTGTCTATGTGAGCCGCCCCCACAACACGGCAACTGACAAGACAGGTGGTGTGGTTCCACGACCTGGAAACGAACTTGGGCTGCCGAAGTGGTGACAGCACCAAATTTTAACCACAAGGCCACAGGGCAGGCTCTGAACTGTCTTTTTAATGTTACCTCCTACAAACCTTCAGCTTCAATAAACTCATTTTTGATCAGATTGACAAAACTTCTCCTCTTACCCTCTAGAACATTCCAAAATGTGGGGTCTTTGGCCTCTCTCTCTCTCCTCCAGTTCTTTTCAGTGGCCATGCAGGGCAGGGGGAAAATCAAACGAGCAATGAGGAGCAGCTGTTAGAACCACCAAACAGCAAATGAACACAAGCAAGCAGATGTCTCCACATTTCCAGTCTATTCAAAAGACAAATCTACTCCACTCAAGGCTACACGTTTTCTTTGAAGTGTCTTCAGACCCAAGGGAGATGGAGGTGGGAGAGGGAGAAGGGGTTCTTTAGCTATTGAATGAACAGCTTTGATGAATTTCATTCATTGTTTATACCAGATTAATAAGTGATCAAATAACTGTCGGTGGCAGCCGTGGACTTACAGCAGGAGGACTCACAAGCTCGTCCACTAAGAAGTAAGGGGCGAGAGTGCTGTGTTTCTGCTGCCTGAAAATCCTGTGTTCACGGGAGCTTGAGGACACGACTCTGGCCGTCTGAATCTAGTTTCTGCACACACTTTAGCCAGTTTATGTTTTTCAAATTCCCACTTTAATATTTTACTACTATCTGAAAATTCTAGGTGATATCGGCAATGAAAGTGTTACTAAATTTTAAAGCTTTGGAATCTCTATAATTTAGCATATGAC